GGGGTACTCCTGGGGCTACAGCAGCAGCGATCCTGCCATGTGGAGCCTGGCCAACAGCAAAGCACAGCTCCAGCTGGCCAAGTTCTGGCTTTGGGCAGCGCATGCTGCTGCTGCATGTGACACTGCTTTTTTTTTCTACAGGTTTTTTTGAGCCTGGATATCCAGGGCTCAAAAATCCCTCTGTGCTGCTCCCTTGCATTGCGGAGAACAACAGGACATGTGGTATGTGGCACCACAGACTTGTCTGCGGCGCCACATACTGCATGGCCACACACATCTGGATGTGGCCACAGATGCTTCATGAAACTCACAACATACATATGTGTTGCTGTGTAATCATATGATGTTATCCTTTTCCTTGTTTTTCCCTGCCTGTATTTCCCTGCCCTGTGTTTTTACATGTCTGTATATGACATTTACTAGTCATATGCCTATTTAGACTTTGTATTTCTCAAGTAAAAGTCTGTTTTTGAGCAAGGTGCCAGCCCTAATTTTGAGTGCTCAAGAACTTCAATAAAAATAAAATTTCAGTGACAGATGTGATATTCTAAATTTCTGTCATTGTTTCTGTTTATTATGTCTGTAAGAAAAGAGCCTTGGAGATGGGTCTGAGTTGTTGTTCTTACAGATATAAAGATAAATGTGCAGAGGGCTGGTGGTTGTGAGGTTTTGCCTAAAGCTAGTTGCCATGCTTTCAGTCTACGAATAAAAGGTATTTAGGAGGAATTAATCTTGAATTTAGCTGTGGAATGATCTTAATAGATTCTCATTCATTTAATTCATTCTAAGGAAATATGTGAACAAAGAATTTATGCACTCCTGATATTTTGTGTAGGGTCAAAGTAGCCCATCCAAAGTAAGGGCTCTAATCTTTGATGTTTCGTACAGGATATAACCCAGATTCAGATGGATCTTTGGCTCATAATTTATGAGCTAAAGACCCGTGTGTGGAAAGGATCATTTAGCTGTTCCATCAGATGGAGAAATCTATTATTTCTTTAATTTTTAAAATATGTATGATTATTTGTGTGGCTGTTGATCTTTAGGGCACTGCAGTTGGGTATAATGTGTAATGAATTCAAAACTAAAGTCCATATCCTTGTGGAAATGGATCTTACATTGTGCTGGCAGGAATTAATGTAAGTCATTGTTCACTTCAGATATGTTAGAACTTACCAAGTTCATAGTACCCATAGAAAAACTTAAGTATTTTCCATATTTTCTTTATAACAATACACAAAACAAAATTACACATAAGCATCAAAAATGGCCAAAAATTCTGTTAGTTATGTTTAATTCCTCTTAAAATTCCTAGTATGGAATTCATATTCATGAATAAACCAAAATATTCAGTTAGCTGACTTACACTCCTCTCTGTTCATAAATACGTAATCGCAGAAATACACGTGCATTGGAACTTTATAGCCTGAAGATATTTTCCTGATTGTGTTGTTTTTCACTCTGGCTTAACTCCCATATGTGATTTGGGAAGGAACTGGGTAGAATGGTTATTTCGAAAGAATTGAATAGGAAAATTAGGAAAGGAACTTTTAAAAGGATTAAAAGTCTTAAACCCTGAAATCAGTTGTGTTTATTAGTAGGTAAAGATCATAAAAGCTGCATCTGCTGATTTAGTGAAGAATTTGAGGTAATTAAATAATTTCAACCTACTTTGAATTCAGCCCTGATTCTGTGAGCTAAAGTCATTACCATTGCTGGCTGAATGTTGACTTATGTAAAATGATTTAATGATGTCAATCCATTTCTTAATTGAAAATAACAAGATGCATATCTTTGGCAAATTCCTGCTTGTTTCAGCAAATGGGCTAAGGATAATACTACCGGGTAATGTGGGGCCTCTGCAAGGCATGCTAGGAAATCTGGTCATCACTCCAGACAACAAAGCTAACCTATTTAACAATTTCTTTGCCTCCATTTTTCTGAGCAGGGACCGGGTCACCCCCACCACCGGGGCCCCCATAGGCCCCAGGGGAGGCACACCCAGACCTAGGGTCAGTGAGGTCTAGTCAGGGAACTTCTGGAGGGACTGGACGTATTTAAATCAGCAGGTCCTGATGACCTCCTCCCCAGAGTGCTGAGGGAATTAGCAGAGGTCATTGCAGGACCCCTGGCACGGCTTTACGAGTACTCATGGTGCTCTGGCGTGGTGCCAGAGGACTGGAAAAGGGCCAACGTGGTTCCCATTTTCAAAAAAGGGAGGAAGGAGGACCCAGGAAACTATAGACCCGTTAGTCTTACCTCGATCCTGGGTAAGCTTTTTGAGACTTATCCTGGCACATGTCCGCGAGGGGCCAGCAGGGGAGATTATGCTTAGGGGCAATCAACATGGTTCATTAGAGGCAGGTCCTGTCAGACCAACTGGGTGGCCTTCTATGACCAGGTCACAAAAGTCTTAGACGCAGGTGTAGCAGTGGACGTAGTCTTTCTGGACTTTAGGAAGGCCTTCGACACTCTCTCTCACCCCAGTCTCATTAAAAAACTAGGGGACTGTGGTGTCAATGCCTACACAGTCCAGTGGGTCACTAACTGGCTGGAGGGCCACACCCAGAGAGTGGTGGTGGATGGGTCTTATTCGACCTGGAGGGATGTGGGCAGTGGGGTTCCGCAGGGCTCAGTCCGCGGGCCCTCACTGTTCAACATCTTCATCAGCAACTTGGACGGGGGTGTAAAAAGCACCCTGTTCAAATTCGCAGACGACACTAAGATGTGGAGGAAGTGGGCACACTAGAAGGGAGGAATAGGCTGCAATCAGACCTGGACAGATTACAGGGGTGGGCAGATGAGAAGAGGATGGGTTTCAACACTGACAACTGCAAGGTACTGCACCTGGGGAGGAAGAACCAGCAGCGTACCTACATGCTGGGAACTCCCTTCTCATCAGTGCAGAGGCAGAGAAGGATCTTGGAGTCATTATTGATGCCAAAATGAACATGGGCCGACAGTGTGGGGACGCGGTCAGAAAGGCCAACCATACCTTGTCATGCATCCACAGATGCATCTCAAGCAGGTCCAAGGAGGTGATCCTCCCCCTCTATGCGACACTGGTC